TTTTTTTTCATCTTGGGTGGTGTTGTGTGTAAATTACTTTGTAAGGACAACCAAAACGAGAGCCATTTTGAGTGATCTTGTTCATATTATGTATTTATGTTGTTCGTATTGAACATAAGTTATTATATTGTGAGATTTGACATGGTAATTGGTATAGATGCTCATTAAAGAAGGGCAAAATTGTATATAAAAGCACCACTTTTTATGTTTTTGCAATTTAATCATCACCTTTGAAATTTAGCAATTTAATATACTACTTTAGTTATTTCTTGCAATTCGAATCACAAGGCCCAATTTCGGGCATGTTCTGGTGACGTGGCGTTTCCACGTGTCAATGACGTGAAAAAATCTGTATGCCTAACAGTAGGAGAATTCGAACCCTGGCCTCCAAAGGAGAAAGATAGCTATGCTACCAACTCACTCATCCATGTTAGTTAACATATTCAATAACAATTTATATATATATGAATTACGTATGAATAAATCATATTAAATTTAGAATAATTATTTATATTATATTAAATTAATTAAATATAAAATTATAATAAATTAAATTAAATGAAAATAAAATAAATTAAGATAATTAAAATATAGAATTTTATTAATTCATATTTTGTGTTAGAGTAAAGCATATTAATAATATTTAATAAAATTTTATTATTTATTATTTCATAATAAGTTATTTTGTTTATTATTTTATTTTATTTTATTTAAATCACATTTTTTATACTTTATCATCTTATGTTATATTATTTTTATTATATTTTAAGAAATATAACTTATTATGAAATAATAAATAAAAATCTGAAATAAATATAATAAATTAAAAAATATAATTTAAGTAAATAAAATGTTAAATTAATCGTAAATGAATAATAAAAAAAGTGTTATTTGTATATAAAATAATAAAATATTAAAAATCTTAAATGAAATAATAATTTATTATATAATAATAAGTTATGATATTTATTATAAATTTATTTTAAATAAATAAATAAAAATATTAAATGAATATAATATTATTAATACGATTCACTCAAACACAAAATATGAATTCAAAAAAATATATTTTAATTATCTTAATATATTATTTTTAATTCAATTTTATATAATTTAATTTAATATAATTAAATTATCTTTTAGATTTAATTTGATTTAATATAATTAAATTATCTATTAGATTTAATTTAATTTCTTCATACGTAATGTGTATATATATAAAAGGTTATTACATTTAACAACTAAGTTGGATTGGTGTGGTGGTAGCAAAGGTTGCCCTTCAACCCTTTTAACCCAGGATCGAATCCCATATACGGCGTGCAACATAATTTTTTTTAATTGACACATGGGTCGCCATGTCAGCGCAAAAATGCCATGTAATTGACACGTGGAATGTCGTGTCAGCAAAAAAATGCCATATCAACAGAACGAGCCGCCACGTCAGCAGAACAGGCCCGAAGTTGGGCCCTGTGATTCAAATTGTAAAAAATAACTAAAGTGGTGTATTAAATTGCTAAATTGCAAATGTGGTGATTAAATTGCAAAAACATGAAAGATGGTGCATTTATATGCAACTTTGCCTTAAAGAAAGCATTTGTTGTCAATGAAAGTAATTATCTCTATATTACAACTACAGTATTGGGCCAAGCTAATCTGAACAGCTTATTAAATTTAACTAACCTGCACGAAGCCCAATAAAACTTGGAAGAGAATTAGGGTTGTGCTGGGCTTGAGGTTCTTGGCTTCACGCTAACACTTTCAAAGGTCAAGCCCGGTCCAAAACAGGTGGATTTCCGGCTTTGAAGTAATTGTTTACTTATATTTTAATTTTTTTGAAATTAATTTTTTACACTTACGATGGAAGATATATACCAATTAATATATTAGATTACTTTATACTAAATACACTAGTACAACTCGTGTATTACACGGTGCTTGCTAATTTTTTTTTCTTAAAATCTAAAATTAATGAGAAAAATAGTTAAAAATTTAAATACCTTTTACAAAAATATATATTATTATATATTTAGTATGACACTTTTTATTTGTGCGACTTACATGTGTTATACTATAATAATTTTTTTAACTTACAACATATAACTACATTAAACATAAATATATCAATTGAGAAATAATTTTATTTTTCTAATGAATTTTAATAAATATAATTATTTTTTTATTATTATAAATATAAATATAATTTATTTATTTCAATATATACAATATGGATGTCAAATCGAAGATCATTAAAAGATGATTAATTTGATATATTATATATGTAAAACCGAAAAGAAATACAAAAGCGATCAACTTTTAAAATACATTTACAATTCAATAGCTAATTGAATGAAACAAATCAAAAGTCAGGGATATATTAGTCACTTAGTGTCTCACTATATAAAATTACAAAGAATTAAAGAGTTATATTAGTACAAGTGATATTAAAATACCTAAGTTAGCTAAATAATATTTATGGAATGTCCAAACCTAAATTATTAATTACTAATATATCAATAATATTTGTCCAAACCTAATTATGAAGCATGATTCTTCGCCAAGTAGGATTCCGAAGCACCAGAAACAGCCACTTAGGTACATTTTAGAGTGTTTGTTTGAAATTAAGAAATATAAGAATATAAAAAATTAACATACTCACAAAAATATTTTTATCTATTTTTCCTTTTTTATACTTAAATAAAATTTACTATTTTGATTCCTGAATAAGTAAATGTAAAATGATGTTAAATACAATATATTGACACTTAACTTAATAAGAATGTATTATATATAATATTTAAATTTATAAAATTTACTAATTAGTAAAAAAAATCACTAATTTATATATATTG